TCCATTCTTGATCATGAAGTTGAGCAGCATAGGCGCTTGAATGCTGATACGTTTCCACGGTTCCGCTCCGATGCCGTAAATTAGAGGAGGCATCATGATAGCCGCACTTGCATTGGCTGCCTTCTCGGCCGCATCGTTGAGCAAGATCTGACGCATCGGACCGTCGACTTGTCGGTGAGGAGCATCCGAGGCGATACGCTTTTCCAACGCTTCATCCCCTTGAGCATCCGACAACTTTTTCTCCTCCAAGCTCTTGTCCGCAAAACCCTTCGCAGCACCAATCATCTCGTCATTACCACTGGTGTGGATGAAGACGACATGCTTGGACTTGTCCGCACGATTCTTGATCCCTTCAGCCGCAGCTTGTGTGCTGGGCAGATGATCGGCCGTGGCGGTATGGATGACAATGTCCGATGCTCCTGCGTGCTTCTGGACGAGCTCCACATCATCCAATGAACCGAGCACAGGCTCAATGCCCAGAGACTTGAGCTCTTCAGCTTGCTCTTTCCTACGAGTCAGCGCCGACAGCTTCAAGTCTGGACGGACCTCTTTTAGCTTGAGCAACAAGGTGCCGCCAATGAATCCAGGCCCGATCAAAAAGAGCGTTTTGGAAGGTGTTGACATTTTTGGCAAAGTGCGGAGGTTAGGTGGTGGGGTAGGCAGATCAGGGAGACGAGGAAGCAGTTTAGCCGTTGTTGGAGAGGGGTCCAGAAAGGGCCATGAAATCTCGGTTTATATAGCTTTTGCTTGAGTCATGCTTCGGCCGGCCCGTCAAGGACGCTGCAGCGGCAAATGTCACAGCTTGATTGCGAAGCATCATCGTGATTCGGCAGGCAGACCCTTCAGTCACGAATCAGAATCACAAATGTGAATGTACGTGGAGAGAGCCTTTCGGCCGTATGTATGGGACACGAGCCCTGCATATGCGTGGCGTACCATCCGCACGCGCCGTGCGCGATCCGCCGGATCTTGCATGCGCTTCGCCATGCCAGCCAGCACCGACGCTTTTCAGATGCGCCGACACGCACCATTCGACTCACGCATCTCTTATAACTTGATTCGCAAGTCTGCTTCACATTGAGATGTCGCAAGTCACAACTGCTTTCTGTCGGGTTTAACACGTTTGGTCAACAATGATCATGACTTGCTAAAACATTCGGGGGTGTCGTGACCCATGCCCATGTGCCCTACGGCCCATCGGCGATTATGCGCTATTCTGCGCTGATAAAGTACGGCGACTCGGCGTCAGGCAGACATGGTCTGGAACAGTCACACGATGGGGAGATGCAGACGGAGTGCAGAATTTGCGCTGTACTTGTGCATGAGCGTCATCGTTTGGCTGGGGATGATTGAGCGGTGGCACCTGTTTTATGCATGTACGTCACCCTTGGAGAGGTGAGATGATGGAGTCTCGGCCTCTGTTCGTGGATCTTGAACTGCGCTGCTGGTGCGAGCCCACGCTCGACGCGTGTTCCTCCTTCGATCAAACGGCAAACAGCCGATCGGAGTATGGACCATTTTGCCCACATTTTTCCAAGTAGATGGCAAAGACGGATCGTGTAGAATTAGCGTGTCCATCACGAGTCGCATCGTATCTCGTCTGAAAGCGTCCCATTCCTCCCTGCCTCGCTTATCTGGCGTGTCCGAGAGGAGGCTGGAACGTTTCTGGTTGCGTTGCTGGACCTCGAGCGCTTGACGCAGCTCTTCGCGAATCGGAGCATTGATTCGCAATCGTCTTGCTTGCGATCTCGGCGTCCCATCCGTAGAAGTGCTGGCCTCGGCGCGAGCCGACGCTGCGCTCGCCGGGATCAAATGATCTGGCATTGGTCCTGCGGCCATTTTGAGCTTGACGAGATCCTTGCGCATTCTATTGCCCGAGCGGGAAATCGCAAGGTGCAAGACAGCATCACGCCGAGTGCCTGACTTCATCGCGCGCTCTACGAGCAGCTGCGCTCCAAGGTACAACCTTCTCTGCAGAAGCATCAGGAACTGGGAAGTAACTGCGGCGGTGTGAGGCGCTTCGCCTGATGCTCCAAACAGTGTCCTGTTCGCTCGCTCTATCATGGCAGGTTCCCGAAGTAGCACCGGATGAGCTTCGCGAGCTACGCGTTCTCTCGCCAAGGCAATCATCGTAATGAGAGCTGTGTCCGCTTCCAAGCCGCTCTGCTTCATGACCTGAAGCTGGCGCTCGACGCCGGTCCAGTCATCATGCTCAATTTGTCCACGGATTATGGCCGTGTGAAGTCGGAGAGTAGGTCCCATGCCAAAGTGCTGTGCCGCTCTTTGTGTAACCTCGCTCGCATCCGTAAGTAAGCCGCTTGCCACCAAGCCCTCTACCAGAGGAGAGATGTGAAGGATGTTGACATTGACGCCTATCCGGGGCAAGTCTTTGACGAGATTTGTCGCCTCATCGAAATTCTTGTCCACAACAGCCAGCACGCGGAGGCGCCGTGCCCACGCGCCGGGAGACAGCTTCTTGGCAGGTGGCGCATCTTGGCCCAGTTCCGAACCACTTTCAACCTCTCGTCGGCCCTGCGAGCGACGCGGAGGACGGCGTGACCTTGAGGCTTGCAGCTTCTGCTTCTCCCAAAAGCCCAGGAACGCGAGCCTTCGCTTGAAGATTTGCAGCCGAGCCAAGCTGCCCGGTTCGATTCTCTGTGAGCACGAGCGCCTACGGGAGCGCCTAGGCTGCGACACAGGTGTTTGCAAGAACAAGGTAGCGAGACGGTCTTGATCAGGCATAGCAGCCTCGGCTGTGGTGATCATCAATCGAGCAAGTGCATCGCGAGCTGAGCGAGGGAAGCTTCTGCGGCAAGGGCGGATGGACGTAGTGCTAACACGCTGCATGGAGCAGACCATCAGAGAGAGCACGGCTCGAGTGCTTGGCACACGGTCCGAGACTGGCATGCTTGCCGCAGCTTCCATCAGCGTACTGAATATTGTCGTGTTAGGCCGGACCTTGAGTCGCATCCTTTCTAGCGTGGCCGCGCCACTTCTTGACGGCCATTGCTGAGGCTGACCCCTGGCGCTGTCCACATGATCTCCTTGCCCATCGGTGAATAGGTAGTCTGCGCATCGAAGGACATCACCAGGCCGACCAACATAGATGAGTGCCTTCAGCACAGCGTTGAGAGCGCATAAGATCCAGAAAGTATCGAAGTGCTGCTTGCCATCGTGCCTGTCAGAAAGCGGCTCTTCAGCGTGCTCCAAGGCCAGCCCGAGGAAGCGCATAGCGAGGTCTGGTCTTGCTAGACCTCTCCCCAACAGCTCGGCGACTGGTGCGTACGTAGCAACGTTGGGTCTAGGACCTCCTGCGTGCGCGATTGGTGCCTGTGAGCCTGTAGGTGCGCCAAAGACGCGGAGCGCTAAAAGCGTCCCGCGAATGTCACCCTGAGCGCATCGTATGCGCACCAGATCGTTCAGGATCCGTCGCGGTTCCGAGTAGTATTCTAGGCTTGCACCTTCCGTCGGTTTGGGTTGACCGGTCTCCCGCGGACCACGCCACTTCTGCGCCCGTTGCCGTAGAGGAGCCGCGATTGCTAGCGCGGTCAGCGTATCACGGAGCGCAGGATGCGCACGGATGAGGACCAGCCATGTCCCGACATCGACAGAGTGACCATGCGCCCGCATAGCGTGAACGATCCGGCGAGCTTCTCCCAAATTCCGCATGCCCAGCTGGAAACGTAACAGAAACTCGAAAAGATATCGTGGTGGGCTCAGTGTTTCGGTCCAGCTTCCGCCTTCGCCTATCAGTGACTGGCCGAGTGGCTCTGATGGCCTTTTGTAAGAGGTGAATCTCTGCCAATATCTTTCCAACCGGCCCCAATCGAAGCCATTTGACGCACGGCTCGCCATAGAGCGAGCTTGAGCGTACAGCAGCCATTCATCTGCACGCCCACCATGCGATTGGATGCACAAGTTTACCAGCTCCTTAACGACTTGCGCATCCCCAGCTACTCCCACCTCTGCAATGAGTGGGTGTATGCCAGCCAGGGGCGGAGCGCCAAGGATGCTGATCACACGCACGAAGCGAGGAATTGGCGATTCACCTATCGCGAAGGAAAGCCTCAGTAACCAAGCAGCGCATTCATGAGCCGCGAGCACGTCCTCTGAGGGAAGTTTTGTGACTAGCTCCGAAATGGCAGCTCTTGATGCTGTGGACGCAGATGCGCCTGTGTGAGGTCTGCTACGAAGGGAGAAGGCCCTCTTGTTCCGACACAGGGCCAACCCGAACGATTCCCACAGCAACTCGCACTGGCCGGCATGATTGATCGGGCGATTCGCTGTATTAGAGTCAAGAAAATTGCTTCGTATGGCTTGAGCAGCGTAGCCGAGGTGTCGAAGTGCACGCGACAGGGAGACACTTGTGACATCCGGCGGAGGCTCCGTCGCACTGGGCTGTGTCAAGAGTCCCGTCGGAAGATGTCTACTGAAAGGCCCACCCTGCTGCGGGGTCACCCAAGCTTGTGTTCCGGCCCAGTCGATGTCCTCTGCAACAGGTGTTGACGCCCTGCGTCCGCTCGGCCCCTTGCCCTTGCGATCACGTAAGAGAGCGGAAGGGCTACAAGTGTTGAATTTGTATCGTGGGAACCTCAGTGTATGCTCTCGAGGTCCATCCCAGACCCTTCTTTCCAGCTCCATGAGGTGCTTGACCTCTTCGCTGTCCCATTCCCCCGGCTTTATGACAGGCCGTCCCTTCGATGAATCGCTCGAGAGGGTAAATTTGGACGTCGATGCAGTTACGCCTGCCAAGGACTGGTCCTCCTGAACTGCCTCGAGCGCATGCTGGACATGATCTGGAGCACGACGAGTGGTGGAAAAGGTTCTAACCGAAGTTGAAGGGTCGCTTCCTCTTGAGGACTTACGCCGCAGAGAGTGGCGGCGCGTCTCTAAGACTGGACATAAGAACGATGGAGGCAGAGACGACCCAGCCGGATCTGCCGGGCACCTAGCGCCGCCGAAGCTCCGAGCGCCCGCAGCTAGATGTAGCGTCAGAGCTTGATCCAGGGCTTGCGCAAAGCATCCTGCGGCACTGCGATATGCCGGACGGCTCGACGCTGTCAGCGGCATGTCACTGCCGGAAGGACCTCGCTGCAGAGGTTAAACACTCGAGCTCCGGCTACCGCGGCGCTGGCCTTGCAATGGAGAGGGATGAGTGATGAGGCATCTGCAGTGAATATTCGCGGTTGTTGGGGCCCTGAACTCTTTCCGGATGCAGAGATGCGGCGCAGGGGTGATGTGGGATGGAGAGGGGGACATAGCTTATCGTCTGTAGTTCTGCAGTTAGAGCATTGTTGGCTTTCTTCCTGCGAGTCAAGAGTCACGAGAGTCGTGAACAGAGGCGAGCTTTTAGCTAAAAAGCTGACTACGCGTCACGTGCCAGCTGCCATCGCGTGAGCAGGCGCGGCAGCATATATGCATGGACATGATTGCGTCCCCTAGCTCATCGAGCTTGGCTTCTTCTCCACCTCAAACCACCGTCACAAGTCCTGCAGAGGCAGTCTTCTCTTGACCTCCTGATCTCAAAGATCGCAGAGAGGCGACCACACAAGGACTGAAAAATCAGTAATCTCTTTTGGCGGGATGCATCCCTCAGCTCCGCTGCGAGTCAGCGGGAATCGACAGCCCAGTATTGCGGAAAGCGCAGCTGGGGGGCAACCTTCGGGCGCTGGACCTCCTCGCTTCAGAGCACCCAGGTATTCTCTAGGATCATCTGGGAGTCTCAACAGGACAGCGCACAGGGACACAAACCAAGTCTCCGGACCCTCGACGCATGCTCGGCATGAGCGAGGTTCGCTGGCTTCGAGTCATCGAACAAGGCTCGACTCTCCAGATGCTAGTCGTAGTTTCGGAGCATCATCAGGTCGAGCCAGCTTGAGCTCTACTCGCTCGACTTACGAGGACTTCGATGCTCCCGCATTCTGCAGAGAGTACAGCAGCTATATCGCCGCCGCCCTAGCTGACCGCGTAAACCATGTCGACGAGAGTCAGAGCGGCCGAGCAAGCTCTTCCAAGCGCCTCCGTACATCCTTTCGTTCGCCGCGAGCGTCAGCAAGCATCGCTCAGCCGCCAGAAGAGGATCTTCCTGATGATCTGGCCTACATTCTGCAATCTGGTGGCTCGATGCTCGACAAGGGCAAAGCTCGTGCTTGGAACAAACCTCATCTCAGCGAAGAAGATGAAGCCACACGCAAGCAGAAAAATGCGACTTTCTTAGCCAGGGTCAATGCGTCGGTTGAGCAAAAGCTGGCAGCTTCACAAGCCAAAATGGCGAATGAGGAGCGTGCCGATGCCCAGCAGCAGGCCGGTCTCCAGATCGACAATGTCGCTGCCCAGCGAGCTGATGCAGAGCAGCAGCAGCAGACAAAAGCCGTATCAGAAGCTTCACAGGCTCTCAGGCGAGATGAAGAGACTCAGACCATATCTGCCGTAGTTGACGGCCCTGCAGAACTTAGCGCAAAGCCGGCACAAACGCCCAACGGCAGAGTTGACCTTGCAGGACGCGCCATAGAGGAGCTTTTGTCCCGAGGAGGTCTGGCTTCCCCCTCTAATGAAGCGAGACAACCTTTTGGAGGTCTTGAAACGATCTCACAAGAGAGTGCTAGCCAGGACGGCCCTTCAAGCTTGTTCCAAAGTGGTCTTGATATAGAGGCTGTCTTGCGGCAACGCGCGCAGATGGAAGAAGCACAACAGAGTGAAGCGGAGGAGGAAGGCGTGTACCGCGAAAGTGCTGAGAGCTCATCCGAAGCTGGTCCATCTCGCAGACTGATCCAGGTAGGTGCAACGCAAAGGGCTGCGAGCATCCAGGGGCAGATTCTTACGTCCACTGTGGCATTGCTCCGCTAGGAAATCGAAGCCGGCCAACCCTCTGTTGAGGATGTCCTTTACGGCAATGCTGGTATACCCGAGGAGGACCATGGCGATGCACCCATCGAGCAGGACTCTGACTCTGATTCTGATTCTGAAGATGAGGATGAAAGCGAAGACGACATCGATACCGATGGGCAAGACGAAGCAATATCCGACTCTGGCATCAAGGTCCAGTCTACGAAAGTCCAAGATCTGACTGATGAGGCACCGGAGTACGACTCGGACGAGGTTGTTAGCGAGGACAGTGGTCAACAGGAGGATGATGCAGAGGATGGCGAAGAGCAGGATCGTGAAATGGAGCCATCTGAAGACGAAAGCGAGGAAGATGATAATGGCTTCGACGCCGATCCATCTGGTCGAAGCAGGCTGTATGCAAATCCTGCATCGCAAAAGATCGGGCAATTATCGACTCGTTCGCCAAGTGGTCAACCCGAAGTCATCTCGCTCCTCAGTGACAGCGACGAGGATGAAAATAGGGCAGGCACTTCCCGCGAAGGAGCAGGCTCTTCAGAAGAAGACGAGTTGTCGGAGCATGGCGCTGAAGCGGAAGAAGAATTTCCTGCGTCGCATGCCACCTCCGCCACCGAGGCCCTACAAGAAGACATCTCGATGATGGAGGAACCACGATTTGCTCCGAACGACCAGCCCGGCTTCCGACATGACGATCAGGGCCTTGCAAACGACTATCATGCTTCGACCTACTTGCCCCCCAACCTATCTGCCGAAGTTCCGGGCTGGCAAGGTGCAGCTGAATCTGTAGATGTTGCGTCTGCCATCGAGAGTGTTTGGCAGCCAGCAGAATCGCACGCTCACGCAGGCGTCGACGAAGATGGTGTCAATCGTCGTATCAACGGCATTCGCTTCTCTCTTGCCGAAACGCCAGGCTCCTCGTATCACGCGCACATCGACCCGGGCCTCTTCGCTGACTGGATGCACTCTTCTGCTCCCGATGCGTCCATCGCTTTGCCTGTCACTGCGGACTCCTTCACGCCTCACGCTTCCTTCCCATTGCCCGAGGAGACTACTTTGTCGTCGAGCCTACCAATCGCACTGGCCGAAACCCACGTCGCAAATGCTACAATGCCCAACGCAGCGACGGTGACCTTAAGGAATGCCCCTACAAGCTCGGTTGCATCCGATCAGAGAGTGGAAGAAGTGATTGCGCCCTCTTTCGAAGCCGAGCAAGGTGGAGCACAGAGTTTTGCGGAACAGACCATACTGCCGAAATCGCTGGACGAAGCATCCGCGTCTCGCTCAGCTCCGCTTTCTGCACAGCCGTCTTTGCACCAAGAGGACAATCTCCATCCTGAAGCAGCCGACGTGTTGCAGCAGCCTGGCGTCGAAGAGGCGATGGAAGAGCAAACTTTACGACGGGGTCCGTCAAATCCTCCCGGCGACCCGGATCGTCTTCTATCATCTCACAACACCCCCAGCGAGCAGGAAGACGTTATTGCTTCTGCTACGAATGCTGCAAATGCTACCGAGGTTCAGAGCGGGGAGGAACTTTTAGCTTTGAAGCAGTCAATCCAGTCAACGAGCTCAGCGAACTTCAATCCAGATCAGCAAGTCCGACCACCGCCGTCGCTTGCTTCGACGGCAGGCTCGGCGATCAGCGAGGTTATCGGCGCGGTTGCCGTTGCCTCTTCCTCCGCTGCATCCGAGCACCTGCCGTTACCGGCGCCCGGCGGCGGGGGTTTGATTGAGTTCAAGAAGCGTTTTGGATCGACACTTCCTGCTACATCTGAAGTTGCAAGTGCAGGTGGCGGTCGTAGCGAGCCTCCCACACCAGGTGTTGTGGCTCCGCAATCCGCCTTTCCACCGCCAGATTCACAACTACCCAGGCCTCTGAGCCCAGCCCCTCCTGTCAGTACCAATCAAGTGCTGGTGGCAGACTCAGCTGAGCTCTTGCAGGTCAAGGAGAAGGCAGCCGAGCAGGTTGCCGGCCAGATACACTCAGCGCCAGCCTCGACCCACGGGGGAAGCGTTGCCGGTACCCGCGAAAATGATCCCAAATTGGACTTCAACTATTCGGCTGAGGTTTCACAAAATGCTGCTATCCAACACATTGAGACAGCTGCGGATCTTGTTGACATGAAAGCTCACGTCGCGCAAACAGAGCCACCAAGAGCTCCTGGAAGTCTCAAAACCAATCTGAGCGATGTGGCTGCTTCTCACGCTGACCACGAGGCGGCAGAAGCTGAGCTCGACGGTCTTGCAGAAGAAGTTTCTGAGAGCCGAGCGGCTGACACGGTCACAGCAACATTTCACTCCAGCGACACGCTCACCACCCTCGCGTCAGAAGTGCCGCCACTGACCACTCAGAACGATCATGTATCAGTAGCACAAGCTGTCAAGCCTCCACCACTGGTTCCAAGTTCCTTATCTGATCTTGCCAGCGAGCCGCCGCTGCGTAATAGCAGCACAAGCTCTAACGCAAACTCTTGGCTAGCTCGTGGTCAGCATCGGCACTTCCATCCTCACGGTCAGACTGCCCGACGCGTCATGCACAGTGGTAGCGTTGTCACATCGGGCGCCCCGAAGCAACCCGCGAATGATAGCAAGACTGCGCCAGAAGATGAGAGCAATGAGGGTGACAAGACTCAGTCGGCAGCAAACGACGGAGAAAACGAAGGATTTGTCCCTCAGTACGAGCGACCAGTCACACGCTCACAGTGAGTTGAGCACAGAAGAGGAGCACTGCGTCGGGGCCACGCTGACGATGCTCACATGCCCTTCTAGATGCCATTTCTCCCTGGTTTCCTTTCCCTCGATGACTTCACCTGACGGATTTTGCACTTTCGTCGCCCCGCACTGCTCAGTACGCCGAGATCGCTTGGAGCAAGAAGGGGCGAAAGAGCGTGGAGCTGCCAGCGAAGCTCAGAATAATGACAAGGAGTGGTTCAATGCTGTAGACCTGCCAGAAGAGCTGTACCATTCGCTATGCCGCGTGTGCGACCCAGATCTCCTGGAGTTTACCGCGCTGCTTCCGGACACGCGCCCAATCGAGTTGCGAACATTCCACGAGAAGAGTGAGGCGTCTAGCGAGCCCCGCGAGCACAATCACGGACGCTCCAAGGCTGCTACCTCTCCTAGCTCAGCTGCCGCAAAGGAGCTGCCCGAAGAAGAGTACCTCGACGGTACTAGTGAATCCGACGCTGCCGCCCTACTGAAGCAGCGTGACGCAGCGATACATGAGTCGCAGCCCCAAATTCCCAGTACTCCCGTACTTGACCAACCACCAGCTGTTGAAGAAATTAGAGGCGTGTCTACCTCTCCACGTCGCGCGCGCATCTCGCCAGAAGTCAGGTCTCCACTACGCCGTTCCGAAAGGGCGCCCAAAGCACGCAAGCAATTCGACGACGACGCTTCGCCTCCAAGCGCATCGCTGACTACTCGTTTCAACGAGCGCATCATCCAGACGCGCCGGCCTTTTCGCGCCACCTCGTTTTCGATGGTCGATCTGGACTCGGACTCCGACGACGCGGCTTCCGCGTCTGCAGTCGCGTCACGCGATTCTGAAAGCGGCGTGACCACCTCTCCCTCAGCAACTCGATCGGCGCCAAGGAGTCACGCCAAACGGTCTGCGCGACGCTCGGATAAGGGCGGGCCTCTGGCAGACTTTGTGCCTACGAGCAACGCGAGTAGCGATTCGGAGGAGCAGGGTAGGCGCGGAGGCCGCAAGCGAGCCAAGGCAACGGATAACGCCCATGCCCACGAGGACCACGAGGACCACG